AACCTGTACTTCTCACAGAGTCATCATGAGGCTCCGAGAGAGAATGAATGTCAAGGTGTTTTGTAAGGCACAACCCCAAAGCTGAATTCTATATTTTGGCCCAAATGAAGGCACAGAGGCCAGGTTCGTCATGTTAGAGAATGATGTTGCTCCTGGGTCTCCCTTATTTGGGGTTTCTGCTGCCAATGCATGAGTCGGTCAGGTTTTTTCCCCCAAGTACTTTGTAGAGTCTGTTGCATACCCTCAGGATAGTCATGGAGGAGTGACAGGGATTCCGGGGCTCAGGGAGCCTGAGTTTCTGACCCAAACTCTGGTTGTGAAACAGCATCTATGGGAGCATTTCACTGGCTTATAGACAACTTGTCCCAGCCAACTACAGCCTGCCTTCATGGTTCAACCAAGTCAAACACTCTTTTTTTTTCTTTTCTCACACACTGCACCCCCCAACCCTAGCCAAACACTCTTAAACATCAGATCCCAAAGAAAATTCCTATTCATTGGCTCTATGTAAAAAAAATGAAAAATGAGAGATGGCAGCACAATTCCCTATTTTAGGCCCCAAGGTGGAATATTCTGATATCTTTGGTATGCTTTTTTTTTTTTACTTTATTTTATTATAAAGATTTGGGGTACAAGTCAGGATTAGGTATGTAAGTATTCTGCGTGCAGGTGAAGTTTGGGCCTCCAACAGATCTTCACCTCTCTTGGTATAGGACCAGGTACCCTTTGTGATGTTATGGAACCTCCACCCCTGGCAGTGTCCCGTGACTGCCAATCCCTCCCTTATGCTATTGTGGTTAATGTTCAGGTCCCATTTATGAGTGAGAACATGTGGTATTCAATTCTTTGCTTCTGTGATAGATCACTAAGTATGATTGTCTCCAACTCCATCCAATTTGCTGTGAAGTCCAGGATTTTGTCCTTCTGTATGACTGTGTAATAGTTCATCATGTATATGTACCACATTTTCTTTATCCAGTCTACTTTCGAAGGACATTAGGATTCCATGTTTTTACTACTGTGGACAATACAGCAGTAAGCATGCATGTGCAGGTATCTTTCTTGTGAATGATTTGTGTTTCTACGGGTATATTCCCAGATGGGGGAATTGTTGGATTATATGAAAGATCAATTTCTAGCTCCTTTAGAAATTGCCACACTATTTTCCATAGAGGTGGGACTAGTTTGCACTCCCACCAACAATGTAGAAGCATCTCCTTTTCTCTGCACCCTCGCCAATATCTGTTGTTATTTTATTTTATTTTTTTTTTGAGTTGGAGTCTCAATCTGTTGCCCAGACTGGAGTGCAGTGGTACACTTCCGGTCACCGCAGCCTCGACCTGCTGGGCTCCGGTGATCCTTCCGCCTCAGCCTTCCAAGTAGATGGAATTACAGGCACGCGCTGCCATGCCCGGCTGGTTTTTTAATTTATTGTAGAGATGAGGTCTCACCAAGTTGCCCAGGTGGGTCTCGAACCCGCGGACTCGGGCAATCCACTCACCTCAGCCTCCCAAAGCATGGGATTATAGGCAGAGCCACCGAGCCCGGCTTGTTTTTTGATTTATTAAGGATAACCATCTTTACTGGAGTTAGGTGGTATCTCAGTGGGGTTTTGGTTTGCATTCCTCTGATGATTAGTGAGGCTGAGCATTTTTTCATGTATCTGTTGGCTGCTCATATATCTTCCTTTGAGAACTGTCTATTCATGTCCTCTGCTTATTTTTAAATAGGGCTGTTTGTTTTTTTCCTTTCAGCTCATTTGAGTTTCTTTTCTTTTTTCTTTTTTTTTGCAACCAGTTTCCAACAGGATCTCTAGGACAACTGCTTTCAAACTATTTGAGTTCCTTGTAGATCCTGGATGTTAGGCTTTTGCCAGATACACAATTTGCACATATTTGCTTCCTATTTTGAGGGTTGTCCCCTGCTCTCTTGATGGTTTATTTTGCTGTGCAAAAGCTTTTCAGTTTGATGAGATCCCACCTGTCTCTAGTATCTTTTATGGCATATACTCTTAGGGATTTGATCAAGAATTGGTTGCCTACTCCAATGTGCAGAAGAGTGTTTCCTGCATTTTCTTCTAGGATTCTTATAGCTTGAGGTTTTTTGTTGAGGTCTTTGATTCACTAAAGCTGATTTTTGTATATGGTGATAGGTACGGGTCCTGATTCATTCTTCTGTATGTGGTCAGTCACTTTTCCTAGAACCATTTGCTAAATAAGGTCTTCTCTCCCCAGTGGTTGTTAAAGATGAGTTGGTTGAGAAATTGAGATTTTGCTTCCAGAATCTCTATCCTGTTCCATTGGTCTATATGCCTGTTGTTGTACCAATACCAGACTGTTTTGATTATTGTAAGCCTTATTGTAGAGTTTAAACTCTCGAATTGTGATACCTCCCACTTTGTTCCTGTTGCTGAGGAATGTTTTGGTTATTCATGCTCTTTTTTGTTTCCATATGAATTTTCCTACTGTCATTTCCAGGTCTGAGAAGTATTGGTAATTTGATGAGTATTACATTGAATCTGTATATTGCCTTGGGTAGAATGGCCATCTTGACAATGTAGATTCTTCTAATCCATGAGCAAGGGATGTTTTTCTGTTTGTATCATCTTTGATTTCTTTGAGCAGTGTTTTGTAGTTCTCATTGTAAAGGTCTTTCACTTTTCTGGTTAGGTAGATGCCAAGGTATTTCATTTTGTTTGTGGCTATTGTGAATGGAATTATGCTTTTTATTTGGTTCTCTGTTTGTGACTGGTGTATAGAAATGCAACTGTCTTTTGCATATTGCTTTTTTACTGCCATACTTTACCAAAGTCATTTATCAGTTCTAGTAGTTTTTGATGAACTCTCTTGGGTTTTTAAGGTATAGGATCATATTGTCTGCAAAAGGGGATAGCTTAACTTCCTCTTTTCCTATTTGGATACCCCTAATTTCCTTTTCTTACCTGATTGTCTAGCAAGTACTTCCAGCACTATGTTGAGCAGGAAAGGTGAAAGTGGGCAGCCTTGTCTTGTTCTCGTTTTTACAGGGAGTGATTCCAACTTCTGTTCTGGGATGCTTTCTCTTAGAAAGAATATGACTTGCAAAGTGGGTTTTTTTTTTTCCTTTTTTTTTTTGAGTTGGAGTCTCACT